CCCCNCCCCCCACCCCCCACCACACACACACACGAATACAAACGCACTTTTCCCCTAGTTCGGCTAACGCTCCCACCGTCGCATGGCGCTCCCAACCCACCAACAGGCAGAGAAACGTTCTCTTTCCGCCTCCTCACCTCCCGTCTTGCCTCCTAACGAAACACCTGACTACGCATCTCAGCTGCCCCTCCTCCTCCCAGTGCCGGGAATGAGGTTGACCAATAAGCATGCGGTGAGTGAGAGGAAAAAAAAAAAGAAAAAAATGGACGTACATAGACGACACCGCTCCTATTTGTTCTCTTCCTCCGTCTCAGAAAAACAAAAACAGTAAACACAATAATCACCAGCAACGACAAACATTTCGTCTGGTGGAGCAGGGTGGGAGGGCGCCGTCATATATATATATATATGAATATATATGAATATATACAGATAATAGATATCTGCCGTTTTTGTGAGTCACACCGAGCAGGGCGAAAGTCACCACAATGGGCCCCAACCAAAGTACAGCGCGGCGTAGTTCTCCACACGCGTGGCCTCGTCAATCAGCATGGAGACTTGCTTTGGCGGTGTCAGGGATTTGGCAAAGGTTCGCCATGCCGCGTCATTGAAGGCGTTGGACATGTACAGCAAGTCAGGGCGACGGGCACTCTCCGGCACGGTGTTGAAAATCACCATGTCCTCCTTTTCAACAGCCATTTCCCTCCCACGGAGTTTGTTACGAATACGTTCCGCGATATCCTGCGGAGTGCGGCTCTTCTCCATCATATTTTTCATCGTCCCCTTGTGCTGCACGATTGGATCATGCACAAAGGCTGAAAGCAGGGCCATGATGCTGTCACAGTTTTGGTGCAGCGTGGTCTGGGTGCGGGTGCAGGAGGAGCGAAAGATGCCATCTACGCCAAACACCTCCATCGCATTCGTCAGCATGCGAGTGAGGCGGAATGGGATAGTCTCGGGGAGTACGTGGCGTAGTCGACCCACGTCAAAGCTGTCGCCAAAGTCGATATGCACAATCTTTCCTGTTGACATGGAAAGCAGAATATTACCAAGGTGTCGATCACCCAGCCCCAGCACGTACCCCACCATGGACATCGTCGCTAGGGAGAGGGTGAAGGCTGTGCGTCGCTCAAGCCATTGCTCCGCCGTATGAGACCGATGCCACATCGCGCGCGCGACATCCACAGCCTCACAGTTGGGTTGCGTCATGACGTACTCCAGGACCTCCGTGCGTTGGATCATGCTCAGCTTATCCCAGCTTCCAAACGACTCCACGTATGAGCGCAGCACACTTGACTCGTGATGGGTGCAAAGATTCGGAATGGTGCCGCGATGAATACATATCGTGTTGTTGATGGTGTTAGCGTTCTCCACCCAGCCGAGAAGGCCCACATTATTGCTGATGGGAATCACCGGAAAGCGGTGGATGAAGGCACTATTGGCAGTGTAGGCGTTGCTAAGCAGCACATTGACCATGCCAAACAGCTGCATCACTCGCTCGTCCATGCGTATGTCCTCGTTGCCCTTGAGGCAGTAGGTGTAAATGAACCCATTGGACCCACTGAGGCGGATGCGCCGCGGCCGCTTCTTGGACGGGATGACGTCCAACTTAGAGCTGAACGATGCGATGGTGGGGAAGTTCGTGTACTGAATATCATACTCCCCAAAGACAGCAATAGAAAGATTCCGAAGATTCAGCAAAGGCTCCATAGCCTTCTGAGGCTCGTTGCCAAGCTTCTCCGTGATGTGCTTGGTGATCTCTTCCAACAACTGTCCAACAATGCTGCTTGCCTTTTCCCGATCCCCGCGCCTCTCATCCTCGAGAACCACGTCCACGTAGTGGCCAACGTCGCCAACAGTGTACAAGAGGTGATGCCGGTGGGCATGGAAGATGTCCAGCACCGCCTGCAGTCGCCGACACACCTCCTCGGAGTCGCCCTCGTATTCGGCGTTGGGGTTCCACACCGCCGCCACCGCACTAAGGTGCTCGCGAATCTTTTCAATGGGAATTGCAGAGACGTCCACCAGTAGCTTCGCCACAAGCCGTGCATCGGAGCTAATTCTGTTGGGAAGCGCTGTGATGATAGACTGCGCCAATTCCCGTCGCCGCAGCTGCGGACCGCCACTACCATCGTCTGACATAAACACCACGAGCAGCGGAAACACCACCGCCTGAGAGTGCACCTCGCACAGCTGCCGAAGGATCATGCTGATCACTTCACGCACATCGTGTCGACTGTCGCTCAGGTGACCAATCAACTGCGGAATGGCCTGCACCCAGTAATCCGTGGGAATGCGGAATACACTGTCTGCCATGGACTCTTTCAGCATGGATATGCCATTGTGAAACACCCAAAGCTGCAACAAACGCATCACACCAGGCAGAGCTGTGGCGGGACTGGCGCTTCGACAAATGGCCGCCACAAAACCCTGGTGGGCCGCTGCAACAAACCCTTGTTGTTCATCTGTCGCAAGGGAACGATCACGCTGCTGCACGCGATAATTCATGAGACCCCAACTGTGCCACGCCTCATAACTCTTCGGCAATGCACGAATCGCCTCGTGAAAGTGTCTTAGCAGCTCCTGCCGGTAATCACTCTTCCAAAAACAATCCGCGAGCATTTCTTGCTTCCATGTAGCTAGGCGATGTTGTGCACTGCCATAGCAAAGGGGTTCCTCTTCCTCCAATCTTGGTTTCGTTTCATTGAGGAATTCCTCCATCATACGCACCGCTTGGTTTCTCCGACCCTCACTCCATATCTGGCTAATGTAGACAACAGCCTCACGAGGCTGCGATGTCAGTAAGGCGGCGGCACTCACATGATCCCGCTTGTACTCAGGACTACTATGTGGAAAGTGACCCTGCTGAAGCCACGACATGGCCCACATGGAGAGCTGAGGATAGTTCGTCCCCATCCTTTCACAGAAATTTAAAATCATCTCTGACATCTCCGTGGGTTGTAGCACCAGTGAGTGCAGCATAAGAGATCGTAAGCTTGGCATGAGAGAGTCCGGTTTAAGCGCCGCAAAGCGTCGTTTCCACCGCTCCAGCAACTGCTCACGAAATATGGAAGACTCTGACTGCACATATACCACCTGCTCCTCCATCTCTGTAAAGTGCTGTAGGAGCGTAAGATTTTCATAGGCGTGGGCGTAGCTAAGCGGGAGTAGCGTCTTCAGACTTTCATCCACCCCCATTTTAGACTTTCTAATGGTGGTGCGAAGAGCATCTGCAGATATCCCCATAAGGTGGCCACCGGATTTCCTGTAGAAGGCGTCATGAAGACAAACTGCGTTCTCAAAGAAGAGGCGAAGTACTGTGTCAACCTTCTCCTTCACAGGAATACACTCCTTTAACTGTCTAACGTCATCCCACTCCCCAAGAATCCAAGCTGCCATGGCGCCCGACTGTGCGATTGCCACGGAAGACTGTGTAAGCTTCGGAGAGGCCGTTTTGACAACATGCAACGCCTTTTCCCATTCCCCGCACAAACAGAGCGTTCGTACATAACCCTCAAGATCTACCAGACTACATTTCTGATTGTTCTCCACCTTTCTGGCATAGACACGCTGTGCCACATCCCACCACTGCAACAATTCATAGTTTAACCCGTCTTCGTTCTCTGTATTATAGCGAAGAACACGGAATAGTCCCACAACAGAATCCTGCATCTCACGTTTACTGTACAACCATGCAATAGGAAGTACAAGTGAGTGTACCGCCTCCTTTGGAACACTGCTTGTGTAACGATACTTCTCAATGACGGGTAGCACCTTGTTCTCAAGATAGCTTATAGCCTTATCGTACATGCGTGTGCGCCGTGCCGCCTCCACCAGACTGTCCGTCGTGAAGAGAGGATTGACACTATTGGGAATGGGTGACACCCTTTGACACGCGATAGGTGTTGTAGTACTCTGAGACGGTGGTAAAGTAATCGGAAGTGCCAAGGGATAAAACTCGCCTCCAATTTCAATGTTTTCACCCTCTGTTGGCTGCAACTCCTTGCTACGGTTATTATTATTATTTTGAGCATTATTCTGGGCCTCGTCCGCACCGTTGTCGTTACTCTTGATCTTATTACTGTCGGTGACGGCGTCGGCTGAGTGACCACTGTTTAGCCCAACAAGTGTGTCGTCCATGAAATTTGACGCGGCGTTCTTGGCATCGATGCGTGCGCCATCGGGAGACCTAAGCGACTGCGCCGGGGACTCAAAGTTAGTGTTGTCGCTGTGCTGCATGTATTGGAGCTCTTCTGCCGACTGAAGGCCGGTTGCCGTCCGGCTGGTGCCATCGTGGCTCTCAAGGTAGCGGAGCTGCTGCAGCACCGGCTCCTTAATATGAGGTGGATTGTGGTCAAGGTAGCCAGCAAGCCCAAGACATTTGGAGACCACCTCGCTGTCGCTGCAGCGCAGCGCGAGGTTCAGCACCTCGTTCACCTTCTTCATGTGCTCCGCACTGAGGGACTCGTAGAAGCACTTAAAGGAAGGGTGAAACAGCTTGCGGCGAAGCGGCTCATGCTTATCAAAGAGGTCTACTACAATGCGGAAGGCCGGGTGCGGAGAGACGAGAATGATGTTCTTCTGAAACTCTGCAAACCACTCCCGCCACTTGTTGTCCCTAGTACGTAGCCCGAACTCTACATGCTTCATGAAAAGCGTGGTGTCCTGCTGCCCCTGTGGGTAGGTGTCGTAGCGATCGTCGTCAGCCTGGTCAAGGTAGTGGTTGCCGCGCCGCAGCTCACGCTGGTGATTCTGGTGGTGGCGGCTCACGTATGGCGACGTCGGCCGATCCCCCACAGAACCCTCAAGATCCGTCCCACTTTCCGCCACCGACGACGCTGTCGGACCCCCGTTGCTCGGCTCCTCCGCGTCGCGCAGGCACTCACGCAGGGTAGCTATCGTTGAGTTCCCACCCAGGCACATCGCGGCAAGGACCCGTAGCGCGTCCCGCACCATCACAGTGGAGAGACGGGGTCCAAAGTCTTCGCTTAGCATGCAGTGTCGCGTGAGGGTGCGAATAGCGTGCATTAACGCCGGAAGATGTTGCATCGCCTTTAAATTGCATACAATGTGAATGGCGGCACACAACGAGACGGAGCGCACCTCCACCAACTGCTCCAGTTGCTGCACAAACTGCGTAAGCATGGGAAACACCACCGGTATACAGTGTGGGGGAATATACGAAGCGTGCAACACAATGTCCACCACACGCAGACAGAATTCTCTAGATTCTGTGTGATCCTGCAAGGCAACATCCACAAGACGCGGGTACAACCAGGGCCACACCTCCGCCTGCTCCTTCCCAGACAGTTTCCCAGGTTTCAGAGCACTAACAACGTCCAAAACGGCACGGAAGAGGGCATGATCCTGCGGGTACCAGAGTTGTTCCAGTAACACCACAATTTCAGGTAGGAGTTTCTTGGAAATTTTTTCATGCCGAAGTGATGTAATAGCGGCAAGAATGTGTAACGCCTCTATGCGTAGTGAGGGGCTGTCGTTGGACCGCTTTGCAATCTGCAACACCGCCTTTGCCGCATGAACGCCACCAATAAGATTTTTCTTATCACTTGTCGTCTGCACAAGGTGGAGCAAGGTGCGTAGGGTCTGTGTGCACACCATCTCGGAAAGGCTCACATCCAACATCCGGCTCAGGTCCCGGTACACAATGACGCCGTAGTCATAGGTGAGTTCCAGGTCAGCATCATCTTGAATAGCAGCCTCATCGTTCTTCTTCTTTGTGGCGGCGACGTCTGGCTTTGTGGCGGGGTCTACGGCGCCCAACTGACCAAACAACGTGAGCACCTGCTCTAGCTCATTGGCGGTGCTGTTCACAGACCCAATGTAGACAGTGGTGATGGACTGCAGCAGGTCATGCAGCTGCGTCGCATTCCACTCCCGCGGCGAAGCTCCAATAGTATGCATCTTCACCAACAGTCCAATGGCAGCATGGCTGAGCGAGATTGATGTGCTTCGGCGGAGAACCGCCACCACCGGCGCGTACAACTCCGCCACATCGTCTTGGTTTTGCAGCATCATCTTCTCATCCTTCATCAGGGCGGCAATGATGGTGTCGGTGGTCTTGAGAATGGAGAGGGTAATCGCGTCGGCCACCATCTCATCCACCAAATGCTTCTGAAATGCAATGAAAATGCGATGCATGTGGGCTGTCAATGGCGCCAGCGAGAACTTTGCCAGTGTTTGCAGGTCGGAGATGTGGCAAATGAGAGTTTGCGGGCCGGCGGAGTACTCAAGCACCGTGACGTAGGACTCCACCATGTTAAGCAAACTTTGCTTCACCACCTCCAAGGAAGGTGTGTTGCGCGGCTCTTGCGTAAGCAGCATGAAGAGCTCCACCGTCTTTTCCCGTATCTGAGAGGTGTCATGGAGAAAACTCATAAGCGTCTTCAAAATCCTCTGCTCCAACAGAAACGTACGCAGTTCCACGGCATCCGCCAGGATAGTTACCTCCATCAGTCGAACCTTAGGGTCTAGCTCCAGCAGCACGTGCTTTAGGTACAGTTCAATAATCTCTGTGACACGGGTTGAATAGGTGGAGGTGCGGTGCTGCTTTGCGTAGTGGGTCCACTGGCTCAGCGCCTCCACCACAGAGGTACTGCACTGTTGCCGTACCTGGGCATCCTGATGGCGTTGGTACAAAATAACGAAGGTCCGAACCCCCTCTAACTGCTGCACTGAAGTTATCTGTCGCTTTGCAAAGAGTTCCAGAGCAATGCAAAGCTCCGAGGTGCTGACAGGATAAGGCACAATAGTCAAGCTGTTGACGCTAACATTAATCCCTCCTGTTGCAGCTGCTGCAACACCGTTCGTTTGGGCATTCTGGCTTACACCCATTGTGTTTGCACCGCTCTCGTTCCTCAAGCCTGACTCAAACTGGTTTCCCCCCTCAACAACACTCACGCTGCTACGCGGCGGGGCGCCGTTACCGACCTCAAGAGTGGCAGGTGGAAGAAAGTACTGCGCCAGGCGACCCACCGTGCTATTGGGACCACTGAACGTCGACGCCTGCGCGGTGTCCTGCGGTGGCGGTGGCGGTGGTGGCGGTGGCGGTGGCGGCAGCGAATGTGCTTCAGTGCTGGAGACTTGCCGCTCGCTACGCGTCAACGATCGCCCACCAGCATCAAAACCCCCTAGCCTCGACTCCTGCGTACTGTCGCTCAGTTTGCGGTCTACTAGAGCGTCGAGGGCTGCCTGCAGCTCGGTACTCACGGTGGGAACATACTGCTGAATTATCGTCAAGTACCTAACTAACTCTGCGGAGAGAACGGCGTTTGCCAGGTGTGGAATACAGCGGCGCACCAACCCATCCACGTTCTGGACGATTTCCTGCTGCTTCACGGCATTCGCATGGGCAACCGCCTTTGGCAGTGCAGTTGCCGCCACATCGCTTCCAACTGAGGCATTTTGCATGGAATACGTGCTTTCCGCTAAGTTGGGCGAGTCACTCTTGCTGGCAGAGAAACTAGCACCGAACGACCACCCAGACTTACTCCTTTGCAGCGTCTGCTTCAACACTGCCTGCATGTACCCACCGCAGATGGCCGCCAAAATATGCCAACACTCCTCCTGCGTTTCTCTACGTGTGATGTAGCGCACAAGTATGGAGTCCAGATTCGTGCGGTTTGTGGAGTCCAGCGTCTCGTACCCAACATTCTGGATAAAGGTGGCAACGTTGCGCAGCTCCAGGCTCTTGTTGCGCTCGTCGCGAACGTTCTTAACGGGTTCCATAATAATGGCACAGTACGTTATGCGACGCACGGCAGAGAGAACGTCAGTCTCCGCAATAACAGGTACGAGGTCACACACCGCGGCACGCACCGCGTGCGACTTGGAGACACGATGCTGCTCTGTGACGAGCACGCACAACTGCGGTAGCATGGGCACCTGCTTCTCCATAAACTGCACTCTTCTGCTGCTAATGAGCGCGCGAAGAGACTGGAGGGTGGATATAACGCTACTTTCATTATTGTGACTCGTGTTCAAGGACCGAATCGCGTCATCCAAAACACGCCGATTCTCCAGCACCACCTCATTTTGACGCATGACACTTGTGTTGCTAAATATTGCCACCAAACAATCATACGCAGCACGGCGAAGCACCTCATCGGAGGAACCTGCAAGGGCGGTTGCAAGCTGCACAGCACGTGGGCGCAGCGGCCCCACCATGTAGCGTGCGTTGATCTCAGCCGTGGCAGAAAGGGCCAGCATGACGGCGAAAAACTGTGCAACAAACGGGGCCTTTGCTTGATGCGCGCGCCCGTGCAGCTGAATCAGAGACAGTTCGCAGTTATCCTTCAGTTCCTTCGTGATAAACAACTTGAGCGGGGGCGCAAATGACCCAAACTCTAGGTCCAACGCCAGCATACGCTTCAGCACACGTTGTGCCTCCTTTGCCGGTTCCTCAATCCCGCAGTGTAACACGATGAAAAGGCTACGACAGAGCCGCGTAAACTTTTGTTGAGGATTTGTGTACGGCACCGCAAGAAGGGCATCCACAAAGTTCACGGCAAGAAGCAGCAGCTTTGGGTTCGACGTCCGCGACAGCTCAGAGAGGACGTCACGTATGCGCTGCTCAAGAAAAAGGTCACGACTCATGGGGTCGCAACTTGCCAAGGCCCGACGTTCGATCGCCGACACCGCGTCCCGCATCACGGCTGCCGCATTAGGCCCTTCTACCGAACACTCAAGTTCCCGCAGCAGTTGGTTCACCTCCTCATCACTAGCGTCGGCGGCATTGGCGACGGCGGAGGATGACACGGAAACGTAGCTGGCGGCAGCGGCCACCTCCGGCACTGGACCGTTTGACGCGCCACCCCCAGCACCGCTCCCCACGACGCCGCCATGACCAACGCCACTACCCGCCGCAGTCACAACGCCGTTCGGTACAGACGGGGGGTAGCGTCGCTGTAAAGGGTACTTCTGCATACGACAATTTTCAGCCCCACAGATGTAAGATCTAGGTCCTCCGCTTATTCACAAAGCCAGGTGCGACCACCTTTTCTTGTTGTAAACTGTTGAATGCCAGCTGTATCTGGCTTCGTGTCTTTATGGTCCAACGCCTGTTTTTCCCCTTTTATTGTGTTATTTTTTGTTTCCTTCGTCTTCGTCTTCGTCTTGTATTTTTTTTTCTTTTCTCTGACTGGTGCTGGGTGTTCTTGCTGGGAGAAGTTGCCCCCCTCCGTTTTATTGGGGGTTTTCTCCCTCCTTTGGGCACTGCGGGCTTTCGTTACTATCCCTCAAGGGCACGCCGCGGCGCACAGGGCAGAAGTGTGTACATGAGGAGGGGAAAAAAGCGCAAGAGGCAGGAATGATGTGCCATGGCCCTTCATCTCCTTCACCTTGCACACACACACACACATGTATATATACATATTATATATATATAATAAAAAAAAAAAAGAGTACACCGTCTCTCTCTAGCTCTCTCTCCTTCGCTTTCTCGAGGTCTCACGCTCCGTCTATGTACCGTCTCTCACCGCCGCATGCAAGCAGAAACAGATGTATGAAATTAGTGGATCTGTGACCTAAAAAAAAAAAAAACTGTTTGCGCTTCTATTACCCCTTCAGTCTTGCCCGCGTGCATATATATATATATATGGGCTGCCGCCGTGCCCAGGAGGTGCTTTTACACCCCTCACCCCTCACCGCTGCACTCTACAATTCCCTTTGTGTGGGCCCCGCGGTTCCACCCATCGGGGGCTACGGCAGTGAGACACACGCAACCCTCCCCTCCCCTCCCCTCCCACAGGGAAAGATTCGTAGAGGAGAGGACTCCAACAACGACAAACATGTTAGGTCGCAGCACGGCGGTGAGTTCTCTCCGTAGAAAAAACAAAACAAAAAACATCAAAACGCCGTATCTCCGTAAGAGCAGCAAACACGCACACCGTCGTGACAGGATTAATGCCAAGCCTGAAGAAGCCGCCTTCGTATGGGTTCAAGTTCGCAAGGGAGGCCCACACGGGCACCAAATCCGACAGCCGACGAACACACACAAAAACAAACAAACAAACAGAAAAAAAATGAGCCGGTGACAAATGCAAGGACGAAGAGAGACTTTCCGGCTGCAGACGCGTGAAAAACAAATACGCACGAACACCTCCTCCAGTGTAAATAAAAGCCGAGGGCCACCCAAATCCCCGCAGTCAAGAATAAAATTCCTTTTTTTTCTTTTGTTTTAGTCCCTTCGGGGTTTATCCTACAGAAATTATTTTCCTTCACTCTCTATTGTGCCTTTAAGAAAAAAAAAACAATCAATCAATCAAACTGGCCCTCTTTCCTTCCCTTTTTCTTTCTGTTTTGTTCCTCCGCTTCGCCTTCGCAAGCAGCCCGCCTGTAGGCGCATGAAGGTTGCGCCAGTGCCACAGTACGGGACCCACTCTACTCTAGTCCACGTCGCTCAAGTTATTCACTCGCTTCTTCGCGCTGCCACGCTCCGCAGGGGATTTACTCGTCTCGCGCCGGTGATGATGCTCAAGCGACTGAGAGCGCGGCACGAGTGCCGCGGCTGCAGGATGGTCACACGCTGCACTCGTGTCGTCCGACACTTCCGACGACAGTGGCGAAGGCCTTCTTTTTTGGTGCTTCTGTCGCCGCAGATGGGGTGCCGGTGTCTGCGTCGCATGCTGACCTTTCTCTAACACGGAGGGCATCCCAGCGCTGGCTCCCCCCTTCGTGTCAGTTGGCTGCTTGACTGCTGCTTGCTTCGCTGAGACAGCACTCGCCTCCCTTTGCTTCTTCTTCCGTTTCATGCTGAACCAGCTGTTGCAGTAAATCTTTGTCTTCTTCGGCTTTGGCGGTACAACCTGCTCCGCGGTAAATACAGGCAAAACTTGCACATCCGCGTGCTCGGCTTCATTTCCGTTCTCCCCCTCCCCCGCCGTCTTCTTCTCGTCATTGCCATGCCTTTTTTTGAGTTTCCTCCTGCTCTTGCTTCGGGGTTTCTCGTCGTCATCGTCACCACCGCTGCTTCTCATTCTGCGATGCTTCTTCTTTTCCCTCACCTCCGCTTCGGAGTCGGTGGAGGGCGAAGCCGAACGCTGCAGCAGCTTGCTGTCCGCGTCCTGCTTTTCCTCCTTCCTGTGGCGCCTGTATTTCTTCTGCAGCGAAGGCGATTCATGTCCTCGTTCCCTCTCCTGGGGTTTTTCTTCGGAGAAGAGAGCGGACACCACGTTTGCGTCCCCGCCGCTCGGCCACTCGGACGGATCAGAGCGGCGGGGACGCTGCTGCAAAGGCACGACGGCATCAATACCCACACCAACACCCGCATCGTCGGGCTCAAACTCTCCGCGCGTCGGCGTCCAGTCCCTCCTCGCTGCAAACGGCTCTGATGCGTAGAATTTATGCGCCTCCCCAACGACATGCGCTTTCACCGCATTCTCCGAAGCTGCTTGTACGGTCTCGTATGCAAGCGGGGACCTCCGCCGAAGCGGGGAAAGCGTCACAACCTTAGCAACTTCACCTGACAGCCGCTCGGGCAAAGAGGGCGGGTCTATGTACACGTGACGAGGATGCCCTTCCATCCGTATTCGCGCCGCCGCCTTTTGTGAAAAAACGCCCTTCCACTCTTCCCCATTGGCATGTTGCGGCCCCCATGCCTCGTGCTCAGCATCGGAGAACGAGCATCCACGACGTCGCCACTCCGTAGAATGTTGCGGTTGCTCTTCTTCTCTGTAGCGGTTGTGTGAAGGCTCCAGTGGTGCTTTACCGGCTCTGGCTTTGGCGTCGAAAATGTTGCAGGAAAACCTCTTCTTGCTGGGCTCCGCAATCATGGCAATTCGCGGCACATCCTCATCCTCCTCATCCTCTTCGTCCTCGGAGTTATATTCGTCTTCATCAAACTTCTCATCATCGTAGCTATTGCCACGAAATCGGCCCACTCCGTTGAGCACAGGCCGGGTGAACTGATCCTCCTCCGTGTGGATCTCCTCGTAGCTGGCGTCCAGCTTCGCATGGGGGCAGTTAACACTCCCTTCGCTGGAGTTCTTCGAGTTGCTGCGACCCCCCGGCTGCGCCGTCGGCGCAGCTGTACTGGCAAACTCGTGATGCATAACATGTTTTCCCTCCTCCTTCGCGCCGCCCTCGTGCCTGTGGCTACTGTGGCCGGTGTTCCACTCAAAGCCAGATCTGTGGGGCCCGATAGCGCCGTTCAATGACGGCGGTGGCAGCGTACTGTTCTCCGAAGTATCCCTGTCGTCGGCGGCCATGGAGGGCCGCGGCCTCGTGCCGCAGGGGGCGCGCGTGTAAACAACCACTGAATCCATTTAAGGTGACGACAAAAGGAATGATAATGGAAATAATGAAAGTCCTGCTGATACCGACGATAATGTCAAACAAAGGGGAAGAAAAGGATTTTTTTTTTTTTTAAGGACCACGCACGGTCGGATACGAATGCAAGGTCGACTACTATGCGTCGCCTGGGCCGGGGATATTTACGCCCCTCCCACCCCACCCACACCGTTTTCCTGCTGAAGTCTTTGCGTATAAACAACAAGAACAACAAAACACTTGTGCTCCTTCTCACACTCTGCCTGCCTGCCCGCCTTCACTACCAGGCGACTTCTCAAAGGACTGCAACCACAGAGAGAGAGAGAAGAAAAAAAGGGGAAAGGAAGTATGCGAGAAAAAGAAAGTGAGAGCAGTTTAGGGGTGCAGTAGAACCGTTTTGTTCTTCAACTGCGACTTTGTTCTTGCTTTTCTTCTTCGCTCTCACGCAAAGTAGAAAGTGGACACGCGCACAGGTACTGTCTTCCTGCCTTTCGTCCAGCAATCGCCTCAGTGCGGCGTGGCAGTGTTGAGGATCGAGGCAACACACCCCGTCATTGGGCGTGCTGCACGGCATCAGTGAAGTTGCCTTTGCGCCGCATATGCTGCAAGGTGGCGGCGTTGCCACGAAGCCTGATAGACGCCTCAAGCCAGGCGTCTGCCAGCACCTCCCACACCCGAGAGCCCAGAAAGGAGAGGCGTACGTGTAGCGAGAGGACCGCCTCCTTACCCACACAACACCTCCCTGTTTTCTCGCCTGCTGGGGAGACTGTGCGCTGTGTAAGGGCGGCGGAAGACACGTCCTCCTCAGTGTCATAGCAACGTTGCATATGCAGCCGCATCCCAACCCCTACATCCGCAAGAAGACCTTGCAGCAGAGAGATATGTAAATTTTCACCCTCTGAAAGGAGCTCTGACGTGGCCGCAGCGGCCAACGCAGACGCGCCGGCACAGTTGTCTTCCGTATCGCCCAACGGCAGAATCCCACTCCGGGTTGAAAATGTCCCATTAATGGGAATAAAGTGTTTCCACTGGAATTCGAGACACTGCGCACCGGTGCCATTGCCCGCCTCTTGAATTGCCACAGTACCTTCCCGCAAAGACGCCGTTGGGATGACTCCTTCAGGGACTGCAGAATCCATGTGCCGCTCCCTCGTCGCCAGTGTGGACGGTGGCGCCTCGGGTGGCTGCCGTCGCAGGGGTTGTGTCTGCACGGATGTCTGCCTTGGCGCCATCGAGCTCGGCGTCGCGGACGGGAAGTTCGGGGATTCCAACATCCCCCCAATGCACTCCACAATCCAAAGCAGCACCTCTGATGGCGAGACGCGTAACAGCGTCTCCGGCTCTCGCCGCTGTTCGGCAGCGTGTGCCAAACTATCCTCATGTGCAGGCAATACATCATCAAAGGGTTCCTCCACCTGCTGTAGCGCCTGACGCATCACAGCGACAGGGAGACGAAGAAGCCACTGTGTGAGGCCAAGTACTTTCCGTGCTGCGTTTGCTGTGTTAGCCTCGGCCTGCATTGCAGTCTTACTACCCGAGTTTCTGACACACCAGTCACGCGCCTTTCCCTTCTCGCATGGTTGGCAATGCCGCTGCAGCAATGCGGCAGCTGCCAGAAGCAAAAATCGCGTACGCACCGCCAACTCATCCAGCGGATATACAATACCCGACCTGCCACGCTCCAAGACAGTGACATCCACCGCAACAGAAGGGCAATATTTAAACCGAATTGTGGGATACACGCTTTGCAAGCGAGTTACGCCAGAACGCGCCAAAGCAAGCAACGACAACACCTCCGTGGCCTCCTTTGGTGCGGCATACGACGCTGCGATGGAATTCAACCAAAACTCTACCTCAGTCATATCGGTTTCCATGCCTCCAGCCGGGACAAAACCGCCACTCCCACTCATGATGTTTCTGCGTGACGCCTGCGGACTTTTTTCCTGCTCCTCATGGGGAATACTGGCATCGCCTCGCACTTCACCCGCTCCGTCAGTAAATGGGTAGCGCGGGTTCACCTCGGTCGCAAGGAACTGCAGGATTCGCAGTACGGCGGGTGGACTGAGAGCGTCACGCGGATGTGCGCCTCCTGCGTGGATGAAGGCCTCCAGAACACTGTAGCTCATCCAACGCTCCTGGAGGAAGGCATTACATGGAAACAACCCCACAGCGTAGGTGTACACAGACCTGAAGGCGGCAAACATGCTCGCCGGAGAAAAGTACAGGTCCGGGGCATCCCCCCCGCTACCATCATGTGGGCCGAAGCAAAGCAGCTGTCCATTTGTTGTCTGCTCCACGACTCGTTGGCTATGGTGGGCGGGTGACCCAAACAGACGCGTAATGCGCTCCGCCGTCTCTCGTTCCTCGTCACTACTACCAAACTTGTTTGCAGCCGCCGTCGGAATAAAATCCTGGCGGTTGAGGGAGGCGCATCGTTGCACAGCTAACGACGTGGCCACGACGGTTTCCGCCTCTGCTGCCGCGGCGAGCTCGTGAATGACGGGAGCCACAAGCGCGTAGACGGAGTCCCAGCAGACAGCAAGGACACGTTTGCTCACTGACACGTCGCACGCCGACGGGTGCGACGCCACGTACGAAAGTAGCCGCAGTCGCACAGAAGAGACAAACGAGGCGAGGTCATGCATCGCATGCTCAAACAACTTGGCTGGCGACATTCGCGTGGCCAAGCCCTCCGCCACGCTCTCTGTGTGAAAGCAGTAAACCGCTCCCCCCCTGCCCCTCCAATTGCCACCGTTGCGCCCATCGCCATCCTCGCCCCCACTCACGCCCATCTCGTCGCACCATGACGGACAGGACCAGCAGGCGCCCGCTGGCGCCGCTGCAACTCCATGACGGCGGTTGTGGCCAAGCTCACGCAGGTGCAAAAGAAGCGGTGACAACCGCTGCACCGACGTCGCCGCAAGCTTCTGGTGCTGGGAAAGACGCAGGCTCGCCCATTGGCTGTGAAGTCCACAGTCCGGGATGGACCGCGAGTGACGTTCCTCGTCAAACGTCGTCAGTAACAAACTGTGAGTCACCGGCGCGCTCCCACATGTGGAGACAGAAGGGCCAAAGCACGGCCCCTGAGAGCGTGAGTGCCCCGCTGCCGCTGCCTTCAACGAAGCATGCCCATTCCTTTTTCCATGTCGCCTTCCCACACAGGGCTTGTACAAAAAATAATAACACCGCTGGAAGGGCACCAAGAGGGCCTTGAATTCCGCACTCTGCATCATGTTGTTGAGAAGCACAATAAAACTCTCATCCGCGTCATCCTTTGCCTCGTCATGCTCCACCACCGTCATTGCGATGGCGCGGGAGGTCGCCTGTTGTTCCCAGAGGTGGGAGGCGAGTTTCTCGTCGAGGGTGAGGAAGAGCGGCTCCCAAATCCCGCCGAGATAGACAGGTGCACGCATCAAGGTGCCATAGTCAAAGGACCATTTTTCATAGCTTTTCCAAAGTGTCCCCTGCAGAATAAACGGGTACGTCGGTAAGATGGTGTTGGAGTTGTCGGTAAGCTCACCTCTCTTCCAGCTCCCAGAAAACATCACACCTGTGGCGCAGTAGTGCAGCGTGCCTGAACCCTCGCGATGATCATCCACAAAGCTGCCCATGTAAACGGTGCCTTTGTGTGAATCGTACTCCACGCCAAAGCCATGTCGTTGACCACACTGCCAAAATCCACAGTAGCGATTGCCTTGTGGGTACAGCATCTCCCCTACTCCGTCCGGAACAAAACGTGCCTGCTCTGCCCAGGCCAGACCTGCAAATGATCCTCGGTGCGGCGTCAGCTCCGATGAAATCAAAGAGATCATACCAATATATTGCATTGTTCTGCTCATATCTGCATCTTTTCCTGAAGTCCCACCCACATATGTTGGCTCTACCAGCTCCTTCGCCGCCTCTGGTGAGGTACTGGCTGTGGGGTAAAAGCAAAGCACACACGGGGTGCGGTCTAAAAGTGGTGCATCATCATCCCAACAGCAGTCTATGAAGTAGTGAGGATACACAGTCAGCCGCCCCTTCCCCTGTCGTCTGCCGTAGCTGAAGGATCCCGTGTACATGGAAAAGGTGAGCAAAACGGCATCCCGCAACTGCTCCACCTCACCAAACTCGCTAACCACCAGTGTGTGCGGTAAACCAACCGGAGCGACCGCCTTCCCCGTCAAGCTACCGGCGCCACCCTTGACGTACAAGAGACACACTAACGTACCAACCCCGTGAGGGATAAAAACATTGCTGCTGTTCCCACAGTCACGTGTGCTTCCGGCGCGAACCACATCACCCGTGTAAAGGTGTTTCTGACGCAGGCGTTGCAGTTTAAACCCAAACCCGGCGTGCTTCTCAAGCTGCCGCGGTTGGATTGTAGAGGATGAGCCAAATTCGATAGGACACATCACCACGCGCTGCTTGCCGTTTTGATGTGACTCGAAGGTGACGTCCGCGGGCTGCGGCTGAGCGGGTGTGGTGGGAAGCGACATTCACAACGCCTCCTCGTCTCCTCCCAAAGTTGCACAAAGGGGCGGGAAAGGGAGACCAGAAAGTCAATAAGAAAACCAAAAAAAGATGCAAAAACACAATCTGCGTTGTGTGGCCTGTCACCTTCCCACTCCCGCACTTCGCAAGTTCTCCTAAACGTTTCTATCCCTGCTACCTCCGCATCATCTCGGCAAGCGAGAAGACACACGCAAAAGAAAAAAGGAAAGAAAGAACAAAAATCAATGGGCAAGTTGAAAAGGCAAATACAGAAGCATAAGCAGGAAAACAATGTTTCAATGGGAAAAGAACCACAAAACTGTGGAAAACAGTATCTGCGGAATCTTGGAAAACGTTTCCCCACCCCCCACCTCACATAACGCCTTATTTCATGTTGTTGTTGTCTATTTCTGTGTCTCTGCCGCTCACCTCCTCTCTGTAGTCTTTTTACTCTCGCTGCTTCTGTCCTGCCTCTGCGCGGTGCCACGTCCACCACCGCCAGCCACTGCACTCACATTCCCCTCCATCTATCTACATTTCTCTATGCTGGGTCGCGGCGGCAGCACAGCCGCCGCCGCATTCACCCGTTGGGTCCCTTCCCCATGATGGAAGACTGTTGCAGCAGGCACCCAAAGCCAATAACATCTTCGTAGGCAGTTGAGCTGCGTGCGACAACAAAGGACTTTATCGCGTCTGTCTTCCGTGTGCGCTGCCACCACGCACCAAACGCATCTATGCGCTCCCGTGTCGTCGTCGTGCACCCTCCGCACATTGCATCGACAATTTCGACGCCCCCTCTCTGCTTCGGCCGAATAAAACCATCATTGGGAACTACGCTTTGGAGAACTTCCGCCAGCCCTGTGGCAGCTGAGGCGTCAGTTTCCGTTTTTGGAACCACATCCCCGCTGTTGCTGCTGTTGCTGCTGCTGCCATGTGTTTCCCCAAAAACACCATCACCCCACGTACAATTGACATTGGCGTCAGCGGCAATTTCCTCCGCGTATTGAAACTGCTGCCATTCCCATGTGGAGGAGGCTGTAGCCCCGGCATACGCTGGCACTCGCAGTACACGGCCAAGCTGAGTATCCCAGTGGCTTTGGATACCAGCAACCTCCATCACGTCATTCCACGCCTCAAGCTGTGTGGAGAGCATGCACACCTCGCCAACCACGCATTTATCGTGACGAGAATCACACAATGTCGCTGGTGTTGGCCATTGCTCCACCAGCCGAAGATATTGCAGACGATTAAGCCATCTTCGCACGTCTGCAGTATTACAAAGGAGGCGGGAAGGTCTCTCCATATCGTCCTTATACACCTCGCGTCGTATGACATCGGCAAGTCGTTGAAACTTCCCCACATCCCTGACCAGCACCAACTCAGGCGACGTAGCTGAAAGCGCAGGCTCCGTCGCCGTCTCGCGATGTAGGCCCTCATCGCCTTCATCTTTTTCGTTACTGCTGAAAGGTGCACCACGCTGCACCACAACAAGTCCCTGCTCCACCGCCGCCACCAAAAGCAGCTGCGTAAAGAGAGCACTACGCGACATGGGCTCAACAGCCGTGAATGCTGTTCGCTTCCCAAATAAATGCGAAACCTGCGCGGCATCCATGGGCACAGTCTGGACCGTTTCAGCGTCTTGCGCTGGGGTTGCCGCTGGGCGGCTGCTCATGGAGGCGGTGGAAGACATTGTCACGACAATAGGCACCTTGCTGCGCTTCGCCAGGTCACGCACCGCGGCGTAGAAGGGCTTCATCGCCTCGTCACCAAGAATGACATCCGCGTCTTCAAATAATAACAGCGTGCGGGTGGTGTCTTCCGGGCTTCCGCAGGCTGGGGCTCCTTCCGTTGCCAACGTCGCATCCATGTTCGCAGTTGTCTTCCCCTTACACTTTCCATACCTATCCTTCACAGCTGCATGCAACACCCGCACCTCATGGGACGGTTCCACCGTCGCAGCGGTGGAATCCGCGTCAACCATAACCACCTCTGAAGTTTCTGCCTTTACGCGTGGTCGAAAAAACTCCGCCACCGCCTCAGCAGAGATACCGTTGCCCTTCCTCTTGTTTTTACCATTTTTCTCCTTTACTGCGGAAGCAGAGGCTGAAGCAGCAGCTGCTGCCGCCGCAGCGAGAGAGGAAGCGTGCTCGTTCTTCAGCTTCTTCAACTCTTCTTCAATGCTGATCATTGCCCTTCCAGTGGCGAGGTCGCTGAGGCGCCGGCTGCGGGTGACCTCCGACAGGAGACGGTCAATGTTCTTTGGGCAGCGCCGCACGGAGGTGTTCATCTCCACCACGCGATAGCCAAGTATCTCGGCCACAAGGTAAACAATCGCCGTCTTTCCCACGCCGCACGGCCCATGCAGAACGGCAATATTTGTCACATCGTCACTGGAGTCATCGCTCGCGTCCTCGCTTCCACTGTCGCTGACTTCGTCAAAGAGAGCGCGACGGATGGAGCGGGTCCCTTCCTCGGCGCGAGCAAAATACCCACGCTGCTGCTCTTTCACCTTTTGAGCCTCCTCGTGCAGCGCACGTTTCTCAGCCATCTTCTTCGCCAGACGTACACTGCGTAGGCGGTTGCCGTACTCATCGTACATGATACGGTCACTAGCCAGGCCATACTCGGTCTCCTCGCGTGGCTCAAGCGGAGATCCACCACTGACAGGGGTTAACACGATGTGCCCATTTCTGCCACCGAGCATCCTGTCTGCCATACGCATCCAATCGTCATGGTATCGTTGAAGCGCCGTACGTTTCTGCGTAGGCACATCGTCGTTCTTCCTGTTCACAGCCATGGATGCGCGGTCATTATCGTTTTCCCCTTCACTCACCTCCTCATTGAGTAAAATGCCGCTTCTGCCTGTCTCCAATTGTCCACGACGTTGCCTTCCTTGCTGTGGACACGATGCTGCACACGACTTCAACACGGCCTTCTTGGTCATCTTGTTCGCTCCTACCCCCTTTGGTTTCCCGTCGCATTGCTTCTTATCTTCACCTTTCTTGGTGTGGGGAGACTCGGCCGCAGCGGCCCCTCGCGGCATTGCACGCTGCCACGTCCGTACCCACCGCAAGAGACGTCCTACGCCGGCTGCAAAGGACGAGGTGTGAAACAGCGGCGGTGGAAACTTGGCATATAACATTTGACTGGCCTCCCTGCTATCACTTGCTGCACACAATGGCGTCGTGACGGCAGGTAGGCGATTATTGTCTACGGTTGCTTCATCAGGGTGCACTGTGCCTGCTTCTGTGTGGCAGACGCGCATGTTGCTGCTGCCGCCGCCCTTGCCGCTCCATTCAACAAGCTGCTGTGCATACCGCACGGCGTCCTCCACAAGAATCGGCAACTCCTTTACCCGTGCGATTTCTCTCACCTGGGCCTCCAGTCGCTCAGACTGCTCTCGCCGCCGACGCTTCTGCGCCTCAATGTGGACCAGCGTCCTTTCAAAGACGCCAGGCGACGCGGGCGATGAGGCGTGGCAGGACCGTGGCACAGCTCGTCCCAACCTTTCTTCCGTCGTCGAGACTGTTGCACAAAGACGTGTCCCCTCTTCCCTCGTCGCCTCTTCTCGCCTCCGTTGCAGCTGCTCATCCTCAGCCCGGTAGCACTCCAGCAGAGCGGGATGGAGCAATGAGGCAAGTTCAGCCATGTTTGCCTTTTTGCTTCCCCCGTCTGAATGCGGGGAGATGCGTGGCTGTGCTTCAACTGCAGCGTTGCTACCCTCCTCCGGCGCATTAGGCGGAGGCGAGTTCAGCCATGAGCCACTCGGTCCTAAGCGAGTAAGCGAGGTGGCGGTGGGCACAAGCAGGAGACTCCCCTCCGCGGTATGCGCAGGCGAGAAAGTGTCATCCACCGCTTCTTCCACGTGATTCGCTTCAACAGTCTCCCCGTGGAACTCGCTGCTTGGGGTAATGGCCTGGGTGCTCGTGCAACTCATCGACGACCGGCGACGCTTCCCTCCAGCTGTATACCCAAAAAACCCACTGCAAAGCTGCGGCGCGGTGCTCCCCGCTGCAGCCGTGCACGGGTCTTTGTCTCCGGTGTGGTGCCGTGAGGCGAACGGCGAGGAAGCGGTGACCAGCCGGAATCCGTCCGCAAAGTACGCTGGAAGGCTCACTGCGTGCACCAAACCGTGTGACGACGGTGCCGGCTGCAGCGACATTGCACGGTGGTGCCCTTCCTACTACCCTTTAGCAAAAGTTTCAGACACAAAGAAATAATGTGGCCGCATATATAGAGACACTCACTTCATCCCACCCCAACACTACCACCTCCCACCTCCCTCACACTCACACTCTCCTTATTCCTTTCTTTTTGTCACGCACACACATACACGTATATATACAGAGAGAGAGAAAAAAAAATGCAACACCCACCCACAAAAGAAGTCATCATCACGATGTCTGCAAGCGGCAACAGATCCATTGGAAGGAGGCACAAATGCATGTGCATCGACGCTATCGGGGCTGTTCAGGGGAGTGCAGGACTGGGATGCCACAACACGGGCATTCGTTAGAGACCTGCAGCCACTCTTGTATATGATGCACATGTCCCCCATGGCCGCAAGAAAGCAGCCACAAGTACATTCCCTCCACCATCTCCTCACATATGACGCACACCATAGAGGCCATGTTTTGACAACGGCAACAAACTGCGTTCCGCAATGGGGCTCCACGCATCCAAAGAGGATGCGGCGATCCATTTCTGTTGCCCCTCTCATTTGTGGCAGTCATGCTATTGATGCCGCTTCCACATTCCGTCGCCTGCTCTGGAGCGCACGCACAAGAGAAGGAGGAGCCAAAGGAGGCGGCGAAGGTTTCACTTGAGTCATCGTCCGAACTCCACGGCGCCTGCTCCCTCTCACTCGCCGTAATACACGCTGGAGGCATCGTGATGTAGGAACACAACATCTCCCCCATCTTAACAGGGCGTGGCACCAGCTCCGACTTGGGACACGTTCCACAATAAACACAGGTGAACAATTTTTGTGCGACGTCCTCAGCACGTGGCAACCCCGGGCTAGATTCCCCCATCACCTCAGGGACAATGACGAGTAGCTCATTGAGCGGCACATAGAGCTTCCTTTCGTAGAGGCGAGTGACGTACTGCTCGACCCACTGCAGCGCCCGCATCCTCCACTGCCACGGGGAGCTACTCGTGGCAGCTGCCGGAGTCTGTTTATCCGCCTTACCGTTCTGCACAGCTTCTTCGGCCGGTGAAAAGAAAGGACAGGGATAACTATCCACAGAAATGTCTCGTTGTTTCCACCACAGGCGGAAAAGTAAATATAACACGGCACAAAACTGCACGTCACCTACAAGCGAGGCATAATCCAGGTGACTACACACGAGCGAGGTAATGATAGCCACGTTGTGACTACGCCACGCATGAGCAGCCGCGGCCCAGAGGCGACCCCTGGGATCTGCTGAGCCAACGGGATGCTCCCTGTTCCCCACGCCCTTCCAGGGGACTGCCTTCACACCATCCGTGCTATTAGCGTTAGGGCATGTCCCACCCAAGACTTTGGCTTCACTCTGCCTTTGCAACTCTAGCTCACGTGACCTACACATTCTTGCGTTGTAGGCCATCATTCGCGCAAAGCAGAGATCCACGTTCCCAGTCGACGCATTACGATCTGCCTTCATTTGACGTACCAGATCGTAGCCCATCTCCCATTGCAAGGCATAAAGCACAAATGTGTTTTCCTCAGCCGTTCGTTCCACGTACGCCCACCCACACATCTCATTGGAAAGGACGAAGCAGTCAATCATAGGTTTAACGAGGGATCTTCGTCCCAGGGGAGCCGCCTGCGTGGCGGTCCCCACCGCCAAACCACCATCTACGCCAGATTCCAAGTGAGGATTGGGACATACTGTCTGTGTTTCATGCGGCATAGGAAAGACGCTTCCGTATTTGCGGCCCACCGGGGCAGAGGGACGCACACGCCTAACATTTCCGTCTTCAGACTGCGTTGAGGAAATAAGGCTAGTGATTGCCATGGCCTGCGTCAGTGGTGTAATAGGCGACATCAATCTATGTCGTTCACCCAAAGGCTGTTCGTTTACAGGGGTAAAACCTACCGCAAACGAACCTCTTCGCGTCGTAGCCACCGCCACCGGCGTTCCGTCCAAGCTGTGCCGCATTCGTGCGGTCGATGCCCTTTCCTCCAAGCCCTGCTCACTATGTACCTCTGACCCTCCTTTTGACGAGCGGTGTTGTGAATCAGAAGCCAACACGTATGAGGATCGCTGCCAAGCCTTTTCCATGCTATTGCCTTCGGCACTCTCCTTCACGGCACCCCGCTCAACTCCCGTTGCCGCTACGCCCATTGGCTGCGACTGTGACGCAGCAAGCGAGTACAATAAAGGGAAAAGAAATTCCAGCCGTCTGCAGCCGCCAGTCCCCATCTCTGAAGCCGAAAAGATACTGGTCGTAGAACCCACAGAGCGTCGCTCAAAGGTGGTTTGTTGGGGCCAGTGGGAGAACTGAGGTGAGTGCCGAGTGTCAAACGTCGCGCCACTGTTTGGCGTGGCACGCGACGACACTCTGTGATGCTTGGAAGGCGTAGACAAGATCACGGAGGAGGATGGGCTCAGACCTCCACCGGCGGCATTTTTTCTCTCTAATGCCAACACTTCCAGCAATTCATTCTTCTCAGCATTGATGATTTTGGTGTAGTACTCCCGCAGAAGGGAGGAAGTGCTGCATACCACAAAGCCGCGCCCAAAATAATCGGCCACCACCGCCGCCGTTGGAAGCATGGCGCTAAGGCTTAGCACGTCGGACCCCTCAGACGCCTGCGCTGTCGGGTCGGTACTGCACCGGAACAGGGTGTCTTTGCTCGTCGTTTTCTCATCAAGCAGAGAAGTGAGTACAACCCCCCCGTCCTTGAAGACAGAGACGAGGGTTAGCGCATTCACCCAGACACAGTCCGTTGGCTCCTGCAAGGACAACTCCTGCAGGGTTGATTCCCTCTGGTTAACGTCCTGGCGACCTAATTCGCGCCCTTGACAGACCGTTCGGATGGAAAAAATGGGAGAAAACCCGTTGGCGGCGTCCCACACACTAATCTCGTGACCATTGAGCGCCGTTGTGGCGAACCACAGCTTTGACGAGGTGGCGTCGATGCTGCCCTCGGTGGTGTCCACGGACAGCTCCCCCCCTGTGGTTTGGGACGCACCCCCGCAGGGGCGCCACTGCAGTCGATTGAGGGAGTCAATGCTCTCGATGGGAGGCAAAACATCGGTGGATTCTAGCGGCGCAGGGGCAGATGCCATCTTCTCACCGCAGTGGCTCGCTTCTGCCCTTGCCGGCGTCGCAATAACTTCACTCACGACGCGAAAAAACTGCACACATGAGTTTGTCTTTGTTTTCGCCTTGCGAAAGGACACAGCGAGGAGGTCGGAAAACGTTGGGTGAAAGGCGGCGGAAAGGGAGGGCCCGGTTGTGTCCATGCTCCACACCACCTCCACTTGCCGGCGGTCGTACACGACCACCTTTCCGGCATTGGCGATCTCAACCACCACAATGATAAGATTAGGGTCAAACGGGGAAAAGGCAACCCCACGAGTCACCGAGCGTCCATCGTGCGCGGGAGGTCGTAGGATGAGGCGGGGCGGGTAGACCCTTTTGTCCACTACGGGAATGGTCCACAGCTCAAAGTGTGTCGCGTTTGAGGTTAGCGCCAGGGTGTATGGATTGTGCGGGTCCCACGCGATCCGTTCCACCCGCAGGAACCCCGTGTTGATCACAACCTCCACCATACTGCACGGCCGCCCCGGATCACGTTCCACAAACGAGGCCTGTTGCACTTCTTGCATGTCTGTCCCAAACGGCGTGAGGGGAGTGGAGGCGGCGCCCACAACGGCGGCACTCAGAGGTTCACTCCCGGCCACCGTAGCGGATACCAGGGTGCGGTTCCTGGAGTTGTGAATCCACTGCTGCGCCATGTAGGTGTTTCCCTTCTTTGACAGCACATCAAAGAGCACGGTGACGTTGCGACTCAGCTGCACAATGGCGAGAACGACCTCACCTCGGTTGGGGTACCACGCAAGAGCCTCAACCTTTGCTACATTGCCAAACATACCGCATGAACGCATCGCCAGGAAAACCGGGGCAGAGGACGGCGGGGAAGGGGCATCTGCTGCCGTTGGACTGGGGCGAGTCATCTGCGTCACCTCCACCAGATGCACAGCTTTTGTGCTGCCAATTGCCAACATGCTAGGCCCAGGAAGAAAGTCAACGCAAATAAGTCCATCGCCGAGTGTCATCTTACACGTCAGCTGAGCCCTGTGGTCGGGCTTTTTCCTTTGATTGAAGACGCTCGTGTCTGAGCGCGGCACCGACCCCGATGCCAGCAGAAGTCCAGTTGCGGGAGCTGCCACGCGTCGCAGCGATTTCTCCGACATGTTACGCTTACTTCACTCTGTTGATATTGCACTGATGTGCGTGCGATTGCCACTGCTACGCAGTGGGCAAAGGAAAACAGTAGACTTGCGTGTGTGTGTGTGTGTGTGTGTGGGTAGGTGATGTGTCTCCACTGCGCTGCGCTGAGGGAAAGCAACTGGCAGAGGGAAGTTGGGCCAAAACGTGACGCGGCGCGGAGTGTTACTCACTCCACTCAGGCACAAGGCGTGGGAGAGAGAAGAAAAATAACAACAACAACGACAGATAGTCCCCGTCACACAACACAAAAACGTCCGTGCACCGTCCTTCTGTGCGCCGCAGCACACATCAAACCCTTCTTCCTTGCAAGCAACAAGGTGTAAGATGGAATAGTGCGGAGAAGATGATGCAGAAGGATGTAGGCAAACTCGCCCCTCCTTCCCCTTCAATGTGTCTGCTGAAAGGTGTCCACAGCGGCCGCAGAGGGTGCCACAGGGATGTATGGAGTAGGCAAGCAAGTTTGCCAAGAGACACCTGCAAAGGCTAAAAACAATCCATCTCAGCAAACGCATGAAAGGATAAGATAAAAACAACCAAAAAAAACACGGGGGAATAAATAAATAAATAAATAAACGATGAATAAAAAAATACATGCACAAAGCAAGAGAGGAATGAGGCACCCCCACATGAGTCACTCGCAAAGGGAGAAATATATATATATATATATATATGTGTGTGTGTGAGAGAGAGAGAGAGAGAACCAAAAAGGCATACGAATAGACATAAAGAGGAAAATTTTTTTAGTATTATTTTACCAAACAAAAGGAACGATGCTAGACAGTCAGTTTTGTGTGGTTGCAAAGGCACAGTACAAACCGACCTTGCATGTGTCTCTGTGCGTACGCGTGAATCGCACGCGAAACTAGCGAAGAAACACCATCAAAAAAAAAAAAAACAGCTGCGGCACTAAACAGGGAACCGATGAAATAAGAAAGAAAACATCAACAAATAATAATAATAATCACAAAAAGCAATACACATCTTGTGCTTGAATGCGGCCGTGTCCTCTCCCCTCCCCCCACCCACCACACACACGGCCTTCTCACCGCACCGCCAGACGCTGTACAAGCCACAGCAGCGACTGCCTGCACGCCGCACCACCCCCAAAAGCCATATAAACCGAAAAAACAAAAACAAACAAACGAACAAAAAACAAGTGCGATATAATGACGATGGCAAACACACGCAAAAAAGGTGAGAAAACAAGGAAAAACACAGACTCAGGAAACTACAAACACATATGGGATTCATGTGTGCGGCGGGGGGAGGCCTGTGTGCCTGTGTGCGGTCACGTGCCAGGGAAAAGAGGAGAGAGGGGGAGGAAAGGCACCGGATAAAGGAGGCAGAACAAAACTCCAAAAACAACAACAACGAAAACAACGGAAACAACGGAACAAGTGATAAGCGGGAGGGATGGAGATGGGGATGAGGATGGGAGAGAGGGAGGGAAACAGCGGTCACTGACAGATCACAATCAAGAAAAGTGCACAGACAAAAGGGAGGCGAACTGCCGTTTACAGATAACGCCACCCACAGACATACAGAAACTAATAAATAAATAAATAATACACACGCACACACCTCCGGAGGGAGAAAAAGTAATAAATAAAGAGGGGAACAAACACAGTCACGTTGGCCCGTTTTATTTATTTATTTATTATTATTTTTTTCTTCGTCATATGTCTCTCTGCAACCATGACGGAACCACAGAGGGGGTGAAAGAGGCGACGACAAACAGAAACTCCACAGAACACTCCTCACCTTCTCTCTTTTTGTTTTTATTTGTGTTTCACTCTCCGAAGCTACAAACATACCACACGCTGCGCTTTCATTCCGTTGCTTCTCGCCCAACGCCACTTTCACCTTAACATTTCCTTCCGCCCCAGAGCACGTGCACACCACAAGACTCCTTTGCGGGAACTCTCGCCGTCCCTCGTGTCCCATGGAGCCTTCAGCACCTCGGCTTGCGGCAAAACAACCAGCCTCAAAAAAAAAAAAAAAACGGAAAAAAACGGCATAATAAGTAACGTGGCGGACCCGCCGTGTTAAAATTTCCCTTGTCCCTTTTCACAAACACACACGCAGATATATATATATATATATAAACGCGACACACAGAGGGAAAACAAAACAAAACATAATCCACATGGTTATATAAACACACGCACACACAGGGATGCCTTACCAGGTCTTTTGCTTTCTGACAGTATTCACTCAAGGAAAAATAAAGAAGGAGTCACAGTCACTGTTCCTCCTTAAGTAATGGTTGGCCTCCCCCAGCCGTCTGAATAGAGAGGTAATAAACTTGAATTCCTTGGGGTTTATGCAATCCTCTTGCACTATTTATTATTGTTACTTTTTTGTTTTGTTTATGTTTTTCTTTCCTCCCTCTCGGTCGACCTTCTTTTACACACCGCTTTTCCTGCCTTCGCGACCTTCCCCTACGATATCGCTTTGAGATGCTTCAGAAGAAGCACCAACCTCACACAACAACAACAACGATAACAAAAGAAGCAGCACCGACGACAAGACCCCTCCGTGCCTTAACGTTTCTTCCTGTCTTGGGACGGGTTTTTGGCACCCCCCTCGGCTGCATCAAGAAAGCCCAGATCCGGGCTCTTCACACGCTGGACGTCGTCCAAGGCCTTGCAGAACCAGTCAGGAGACACCAACATTCCTTTTACCCCATAGAAACTACGTGGCGTGTGTGGGCAACGCGGTCTTCGAATCTTCTCCAATACTAACGGCATCTTCTCTGGATACTTCTGCCACTGTGGACGGTTACGATGAAACAGCTGGGCAATCACGTTGTGCAACGTGTAGTGCAACTCCATTTGCTCCCCTGCATACTCAATTGTAGCCGCTGAAGACGAAGATGGACTAGGTGGAGGAGTCTGCATCAGGAGCGGTGTGCCTGCCCACGCCTCCATCGCCCTTTTTTTTTCCGCTGAAAGATCTACTTGAGACTGAAAAACGGTCTTTATCAAGATACTATTGCGTCCAGGGCCGCAAGGGCATCTGCGCTGACCATCCACATTTGTTGATGCCGTCAGACTGGGAGATCGTCCCGTATCAGAGTCCTCAGACCTACGAATTGAGGATCCCATTCTTGAGCTTCCCATCGTGGTGGCCCTTGTTGGCGGGTGCAAGAAAGCTTTGGGCTCCAACTTGCCCACCTCCTGGTCAATTTCTGGACACATGCACGGCGGAGGCGCCTTAGGCTGCCCCTCATTTCCCTTGACTGGGACAACAACAGGAAGAGTGTGTGTAGCACTTTTTGGTGCATTTGGCGTGATATGCGTCCTGCTTTCGTGAATAATATTTTTGTCTTTAGTTGAGGACGTTTCTATTTGTTCTTGCGGCTTTTCCATCAACCCATCCTTTCTTCTAAGAAACTGATTTACCACAGCCTCGTTGTCTAAAGCCTCATCCATTATACATACCGACACAGGAGCTGTATTCGACATTCGCAGCGTCTCTTTGACCACGGGCAGTATGGCTTCACATGCCGCTGCAATTTTTCGCTGCACAAACTTGTCCACAACAGGCCCTGGTACAATGGGGACAGAGCTGTTTAGCGTGGGTACTCGAACATCATCTGTAGTAGCTGGGAGCTTGCGCTTGACTTCCTCACCTGCTTGCCTGGTAACTTTGCATCTCTCCTGTAAGGTTGATGTTGTATTCCCAAAAACATTGCGTACCGCCACGCATCTTCCATGAAGTGGAGGTCCCACAGATATACACTTCGTATTGCCACCCTTCCCCACAGCGTGGTTTACGATATGCACCGACTGCAGCAGCAGCTTTGGTTGCTGCTGCAATATCGGCACTATGTTTGGCTTCAGTCGCGAGGGATATGCTCGGGTGATGGTGGTCGGCTTATGCACCTTTGCCGCAGCATTTCCCCCTGGGTGTCCCATGTTAACTTCCTCACCATGTGCCTTGGACAACTTAGCGATTGTGGTGTGAGTCGGCTCCTTGCTGCAGCAGGGGCCAATGTCGTTGGTGTTCGCATCCCCCGCTCCACCGCCGTTGTTGATGTTTTTGTTACTGCCCCCCCGCGGTGTGGGATGCTGTTGCTGCATTGGCGCCATAACCGCCACACAGCTGTTGCCTTTTCCCGTGGGCGGGAGCAGTGGCTTTTGCTCCGGCCGCCTGTCTGCCCCGTTGGCGTTGCCCAAGTTGGGGGTCAAAAGGACGTTGTCCAGCGCGTTGATGTTGCCCACCATGCGGTATCCGTTGCTGTAGCCGAATGCGAGTGACTCGTCGGAGGTGCAAAGGTTCATAACACCGGTGTCCCCCCCGCGTGAACAGCGGGGCCGCTGGGCAGACGGTGCGAAGAAAACCAAGCCGCGTGGGCGACTGCGCCCGCGTGCGTTTCCCACCCCAAGCTGTTCTTCCCCGGGAATTTCCCAAACGCGGTGTGTATGAGTGTGTGGGGCTGCGCCACCCTGTTCCCTCGGCGCAGAAGAAGCGGTACTAAATAAGGCGGCTTCTACACCCAGTAATACTGGAAGTGGGAGTTGTACTTGTATCAACACAAAGCTCTCTCCCACTGAAGGTGTGCGGAGGAGGCCAAAGAGCGGGGCCTCCTTTCCTCGTCCTTTTCGCAAATGTGTCTTTGCTCCCTTGTCGAGGCCAGTCAGACAGACACTGAAGCGCTGGAGAGACAGGAAGTTAGGCGTGCGTTGCGACTCTTTCCTTCCTCCTTCCTCCACGCCGTATCCCCGGGCGAGCAGTTACTATTCACGTCGTCGAACACGAGATCGAGAGCTGGAGACAGGGAGAAAGAAGAAGCGTGTGACAGCGAAGCATGCAGTGAACGCGGTGCGTGAAGCGGGGAGCGCCGTCAAGACAACCACAGTGAAGGTGACGCACAGAGAGACACAATCACGCAAGCAAGCACACATGCACAGACACCCTACATGCGAAGACGCTGACCATATGGAGCTGCATGAGAGGGCATACATAAGGAGATAATATCAGACCTCTTGGGTGAGGTGCGGAACGAACAAACAAACAAAAAAAAAACAGACACACACAGTGCATAATATTACTCATGAGATAAAGCGGGGATTTTGGAATTAGCTACCGTCGATTTTTTTTTGTTTTTATTTTTCTTTCCCTTCTCCCCTCCTCGCCTCTGTCATTTTTATTCGCCGTCCTCAACAAGGCACAGCGCCATCACACGCGCATACACACACCGTCACTCTCAAATGACCGCTGCACCCCCACCCCCACCACAACAGACCAGCCAACAAAGCACAAATTGAAGGCGCGTTACTTGAAAAGACCCATAAAAGCATTCACAAACTCACAATTTTAAACTGAAAAAGCGACTGTTTCTGCGCGCATGAACATCTTGCACTTGCTGCGCCCCACGGAGAGCCCGGATGGAGACGGCACTGGAGATGCCACACATCCCGCGTGTGCAAGTTCCTCCACCCACGATTCCCGTCCAGGGTCGTACATTTCCTCATGGTGGTGCCGTCGCGGTCACTTGCAGTGATTTACCTTAAATCGTGTGGGGGCCACAACAGGCTTTCCTGTAACTGGAGAGACATGACGCGCTTCACCAGTAGCATTGTCAAAGACCCCGTCTCCAGCCATTACTGTACAGCCATCATTTTTCGGATCTTGCCATGCTTGACCATTGCTGTTTGACAGGGCCCTGCAGTGGTTCCCACCCATAATGCTATTTACAAATTTATGCGGCGTTTGCGTGCTAAGCATGAAGTTAACGCAACCACTGCAATGAGACGGACAGACAGCTTTGTTATTCACCATATTTCCCTATATGCGTTCCCCCGTGTCGTGCCGCACAAACTACTTTGGGTCATTTGATACCAACGCCCCACCGGCATGAAGGCCATGCATGAGCCGCTGCTGAGGCAGGGGACCGCCCGGTGGCAGCAGCACCCATTGATGGGTGCGCCCATTTGCTTGATGCCATGTGGATCCCATTGTGTACGGGACCGTTCTGGTGAGAGGTCACAATATGCAGGCGCTCGTAGGGGTAATCTATGAACACCAGTAGCACTACCACATGCGGCAGGACGAAGCGCGGGACCCACTCTCACGCAGTAAGGCCTCACACACTCACGGTGAGGGAATATATATTTTTTAAAAAAAGAGGGAGGTACAGAACAAACACACCCGTGAGAGAGATCCATCAACAAGAAAAACGCAGAGTGCCACAAAGAGTGATGTGTTTGCCTCTAGCATTCCCAGAACAACTTGCTTTCTGTATATTTTAGCCTCCGACCCTTCTCGCATGTGTTCATTCAGACCTCTTGAATAGTGCATGTATGTATGTGTGTGCGAGAGAGAGAGAGTATGTGTGCCCATTATCGGTAATGAGCACGTTGCATTGTTTTTGCGGCTCCCACTACATTCAGTACCTCGCAGCGGCGCATCCATGGTAAAGAGAAGGATGGTTATTATACTGCCCCTTTCCGCATGCTCAGCTACATTGTAGCTGTGCAATTCCGGCACCAAAGAGACAGCCGCGTGTACATGCACCCAGCCACACCCACACACCAGCCGCATTCACAAAGTCACACGTAAAGACATACTCTGCTGCTGAATATGCACATCATTTGCTTTTAAACCAACACCTCACAAAGCCACCATATTAGTCCATGACTTACTTTTCCCCAATGTAGAGATAGTAGGCCGAGTGGAAGCACAATGAATGTTTCTCCGTATCGTCTTTGCAACCAGATATGTTATTAGACCAATATCAAATAGTGAGAGAGGGAGAGCCCCAGATGATTCTTTACTACTGATAAAGCTACCACCTAATGACACAAGGGAGGCGCGCTAAAAGCTCTGCTATTCCGCCTCTCAAGCGGGGCGAGGCAGATTTGGGTTAAGTGGGCTTACCGCGCTTCCTCTTTGTGAGAAGCTGTATAACGATGAGTTCAGGCATTGACAGGGCCAAACACACGTCAAAACAAAACTACAACAATGCACACACACACACACACACACACACAAATAACCAAGAAGGGAGGTGCCAGGCATACATGCACACATGCATAGATGGTCAGATGAGAGGGGCGTCAAGAGCAACTCGCACACCGTATACAAAACAAAACAAAAAATGCAACTTCAACCACATCCCATTTTCATTCCTCCACGCCACGCCACGCACATGCACATCACAGACGCAGATACGTGCAGTGGCTAACGTCTCCTGCTCGTCAGCGGCCTACACGGAAAAAAAAAGCCTTGACACATACCGCCCCCTCCCCACATTGAGATTCATTCATGAGAAAAAAGGGCATATATATATATATATATATATTCACTCCTTTTTCTCCCTTCTTTCCGGGAACTTCCCATGCTTTACCACAATTCAAAATTAAAAGGATAATGAAGAAGGAAAGAAACAAAAATGCCCGACCCACACATTAATCAACGCACCGAACAACATCCAGTGACTCTCAGCAGCACTTTCTAGGTCCAATTCCCCAAGGAGTGCTTCACGCAAAGACATCAAACCAATTTCACGGCAACCCACAAAACGCCCTCTCCTTTTCAGCGGGCCAATGCTATGCGTATGTTAGCCTGCCCACCTCCGGGAATTCCAAAAAAATAATAATAATATATGAATAAATAAATACAACAAACACACAAACAAAAACGGTGACTGGGCGACACCGCATCGGTTGAAACGGGAGAGAGAGAGAAAGGAGCCTTACACGGTCCATCACCGCAAGTTCTCAGGCCCCAATTTCCCTCAAAAATATTCACGTTCACTGCCTTTTCGTCAGCCACTGAAATATAAATATACGGCGGTTGTGGTGGTCCGTATGTCATGCATTGATACCCTGAATTTGTCGGAGGCCGCAGCATGCCTTCGTCAGGCCACACAGGTGAACTCACCCGCTTTATGCCGTTCTTCACTAGCAGGTACAACCCATCGCATGAGGCCTCCGGCGGATCCTCTTGCGGAAAGGTGAAGCCTCAGAGATCGTCATCATCACGGCTTGAGTACAGCCCTGAATTGTCGCATCTGGTGCTCTCAAACCCCCGCCTGGTCCTCTTGACACAAACTCAGACGTGGCAGACGTAGCAGCAGATGAGGCAAGCCTGTGATAAAAAAAAAAACCGGAACGGGGTCTGTCCAAAGTTCCGAGGAAGTGTACCGCGTCCCTGTTAAACTGCCTTGTTTGCGTATCGTAGAGGTGTGAAGCGGCACTCTTGCATTTGCTTACTGCGTGCCGTGGTACCGAGATCCACGGGGCATGTTCTTCCGCCATACATCCATAAAATATAATTACTCACCCCTGTTTCATTCCAATGCAAAGCAGAAAGCGCGCTAAACTGAGATGAGAAGAGCGCTTGACTGGGAAGGCTGCGCTGAAAGGAGTCCCGTGCCGCCAGAGATGAGTGTCCATCCTGAAAGAAGCCTCCACGGGGGAATGTCGCGTTATGGTTCCCGCACACATCTCTCCGGCTTGTGCTCGGACGCAACCCCGACCCCGCGCGCTGCATCTGCTCCACTTCCTCTTCTTCATCTTCATTGTTACTAATGACACCACTATCACTCCCTATGCCACCCAACCCCGGGGACGCAGTATAAGCCACACGGTTGAATCCATGCTTATCCTCGTCGCCAGGGCTCCTGTTGTTGGTGAATACGTATGAGGTGCCTGATGAGGAAATGGACACCGACGAAAACAACGATGGTGTCCACTCCGCGCCTTGCAATGGATACGTGGAAAGTTTCTGCGCGACACCCTACAACTCACGGGGCCAAACGTCAGCGTACTTGCCTCCCACCCTCTCCACTCTCGTGGGTACTCCAAAACAAACACCGACATGAACCGCATCGTGGAAAGAGGCCTACCTACCGTGCTCACAGTCCCAAGCCTCCTCCTCCCCCCTTGCGACGCGTGAAAGCACAGCAGAGCTGAAGCTAAGGGAGAACCCTTGTCTCTTCTCTTTCTCTCTCTCTCTGTGTCTGTGTGGGGGAGTTTTTCATCTCCCCCATGCGGAAAACCACTACCAAAGAAAAATGGTTCAGCACACAAAAAAAAAAAAGTAAATACGGAGAACAGTTAAAAGTCGTCTTAGGAGCGACAGCGCCACAAACGCCAACACCACCCACCTCAGCAGAAGCGCAGGCAGAAGCGTGAAAGCAGGAGTCTGCGCTGCGTCTTGGCTGAGTCAGCAAGTTCGCAAGAAGAGAGAAAAGGGCGGATCGTGCAGGACACAAAGAAGGCTTTAGTGTACAGGTGCTTCCAACGCGACAAACAATCAACCAAAGCCAAACCACACAACGAAGAAAAGGACATAATGACACGGAACCTCGAAGGTGAAGCAAACTATATGTTGGCGCCGGGTCCATCCTAAAATTTGCCGTCAACAGCAGCATACACGTGCACCAACGAACAGAGAAAAACAGGCGGCAAGAGTCAGACAAACTAAAGGCTCCTGTCGCATGGGAGTTACGTTCTCATGCAGGGAAGCAAACACTCCTTAATGATGCTTATTATTGCAAATGTAGGCGAGAGAGAACGCGTGATAGCGCGGGAGTTCCAGAGGTTGTTTCGTATTGAATTCCTCTCCCGTCGTCGTTGCGTCTCACCCCGCCAGAAAGCAAGCGACAGGCGACGGCGACAGTGAAACCAACACATGCCAAAGAAAAACACAAACAAACTAATACACACGCACGCACTTTTACATATATTCACATGTATTATTTTTGTGGGCGGTGCATCACACACCTCCCCCTCCCCTTCCTCTAGTGCGGACACCGCATTTTTACCGCCAACACGCATGTGTCTGTTTTGAACCTTTAAACGGGAAGAGTAACAAATACAACAAACACAGGCAGCGGCTCCGCCTGCGCGTGACTAACGTCGGGTCCACACATTTCTAGGAGAGCTTCAGACAAACGCTCCCTCCCACCCCCCACACACACAGGCAGGCAGCAGCAGCACCAATAAAAGAAAAATGCGTTTGGTAAAAAAAAAGAAAAAAACACACACACACAAAGAAAGTTGTAAGGTCAACACACTTTCGGAAATTCACTTCGCTAATTCCAGACCATCCCATATTCGGGCGCGCCGCGTAGCGCCATCCACACCCGCTTCTCTCCCCCACCGACTTCATCCACTAACGACGGTGGCGCTGCAGGAATTCGCTTAAGTTGTATACGCCTCCCTTCAGCTCCGAGATCGCCTTTACACGGAGGAACTTGTCGTTGGTGATAAACTCCACGGCCAGGTGCTGTTGTTCCAGAAACACGGCAAAGCCCAGAATGGAGTCATCTTTTGTCGCAACCTTGCGGTCATACACCGCCTCCACCTCACAGCGACGCTGCACACGTACGTTGCCCCCTTTTTCAATGGCGCCGCTAATCCAGTTGCGAACCTGCCGGGCTGAAAAACGCAGTTGACTGGACTCTGTCTTCCCACGATGATGACATCCCTTACTTCTGTTTATCCCATCCAACTCCGCAATGACGTCAAAGGGAATGCATACTACACAGTGCTGCATTGCCCAATCTAAGTTAAACTCGTTGGCCTTCAGCAAGCTACACGTGTCAAATACAGCGTGAATGGCCTGACGTTTGGAATCCAAAAACACAGGTTGCACCAACGCTTTGCCGCCGGATCCTGCATTAAAGGCATATTGAGAGACGTTGCAAGAAGCGCCCTCAGAAAACATACCATTAAAAACACCTCTTTCTTGCATCTTTGCTGCAGAAGGTGCGGCAGGGGCCGTAGCGACTTGGACCGCACCAGTCCAACACGTCATGGGGCTCTTTGCTATGTTTATTTGCTGGAGCGGCAATAGTCGCGCCGCCATTCTGTGGTTGCTCGTACTGTGCTTTTTAGCATGCTGTCGTAGCTCTTCCAGGCGCGATGGCAACAAGTGACTTTGGGCGGGGTTACGCGCCTGTTTTACGTTATTGGCTGATAAGTGTCCCACCCTGACGCGAGGCTGCGGTGCACCGTCTTTTCCACCGACGCATGCCCTTAACTCTGTCAGTCTTGTTGTCCAGTGGGTTTTCTGCACCGGGGTACTACCGGGCGCAGACCAGGAAATGATACGATTTGGGCTCGGTTGCTTCGCAGGGAACTGCTGCTTCCCCACCTCTGTTATCTGCTCCTTATTTATTCCCTTTTCTATCCTAACTCGTTTTGTGTCAAAGATTCGTTTTGCCTTCTTGGCACGCAACGTTGCTGCAGCGAGAGCCTTTGTCTTGGATGCCGCTGGATCTGCCTGCGTGTCCGCTGTTGGCATGGTGTAGGGCCCTATCCACACTTTCTCCATTATACTTCGCTCTGCACGAGCTTGTACCTCGTGAATCCTATTCCCAACAATGCAAGGGTCTGGGCCGGCACGGACGGTGTTGGTCGTACCATTGCCTTGGATACCTGCTTGAGCAACGTCCTTTCCCCGCGACTCCATTTCCTCGCAGTGCCGTGAATACAACTGCAGGGCCGCCAATGAGGTTTCCAGCAGTTTATTGTCGCTTTCAACATTTTTCTGCAGTCGACTGGGTAACACCTCCGCGAATTGTTCTTGCTGCTGCTGCTGCTGCTGCTGCCTGTGTGCAAAATTGGTCGCCATCACCGCCTGTGTGGGCCTCACTTCACTGCAAGCAGCAGCAGCAGCAGCAGCAGCAGAGGCGTGTAAGGGGATCCAACGCAACTGCGGTTGCCCCGCTTCAAGCGTTCGCTCTCGCAGGCGCTTACTTAGAGATTCCGAGACATGGACTGCTGGCATAGGGCACGCGTGACTGGGCAGCTGGTCTGAGGCATTGCCGAAGTAATTAAAACCGCTACTGCCACTACCGCTGTTCTCATGCCTGTTAGCCATGTGAGCGGAGTATACCTTAAGTGCGGTGGGTGCACGCCACTGCTTCTGCTGCTGCCGTGAGTCTTGCCCTAGATGTGAGTGCGCCACACCATCTCCAATCATGTGAGACATGAACAGCGGCTTGGCAGAGACGTGACAGCTCCCACCGTCGCCCGCCTGTTTCTACGACTTCCGTTGCTCCGCCCTCTTTCTCCTCTCCGTCCACGGTGTGAAAACCAACAGCAACACCAGCAAAGGAAACAACCCGAAGAGGGCTGGAGAAGGGTTGTGATTTTCTCACCTATTTCTGCTACGATTGTTCGTGCCACAATGAATTCGCAACCTCTTGATTTCCCTTCTTTTCGTGGGAGACAACGCCCCAAAACCAAACATCCACCCATCCACACACACAGATAAAGAGAGAGAGAAAGGGATAAACGCAAAAAGAGTCATACAAAGCCCATATACATATACATACACAAATGTACAGGAACACAGAAAGCAACATCAAATACATAAATAAATATAGCGGGGGCGTACACATAGATAGCTTCTACCGGCGCACAGGATACTGGGAATCCCCCAGGGTTTTTAACGTAAGTACCCCCTCTGCATACGCTTTCAGCGAAAGCACTTCATCGCCCGTAAGCAAGATAACTGGCATATCTCTTTGATAACGAGTAAAGTGACATGCACATGACAATATGTGGTCGTCGTAGTTACGGGCTGCTCGCAACACGTAACTGTCTCTCTCTTTTGCCCGCTGTAAGCGGAGTCCCGTGGCAATGCCGGCGTTTACGTCGCCTTCCTGTTCATTCTCCGCATTCCAAAGCTGCTCCATCGACTTAATCATCCGAAGCACTTCCGTCGCCCTTTTTTGGCCCTCCTCTTCACTCAGTCTCTTCAGCTCCAAAAGAACTTTTGTGGGCACAATAAACAGGTGCTGTAACGCCATCTCCGCCAGTTGGGACACCAGGTCCGTCTCCAGAAAGGCGTTGGTATCCACAACAAAGCAGGTGGGCTGCTGGAAGAATGAACCCCCGTTGGAGCCGGAGGCGTTCTTCTGTTCCTGCGTCCCCACCAAGGTCGCGGGGCTCCCACTCTGCGGCTGCATGCCGGAATCGTGGCAGACGCTGCGTGGAGGAGCCGGGCCCGCTTCTGCGTCAGAGTCGGAGACGGCAAAGTACTCCGAATCACTCCCGGAGTAGAGACTCATCGCTGCTAACGGGCTGCCCAATTAAAATGAGAGAGATGTCTCACTGACGCAGGCTCCATTAAAAAAAGAAGGAAAGACCCACCAAGAATGCCTCCCGCAAAGTCACACACACACACACGAGATAGAGAGGGTAAAACAAGAACACCGACCACGTCGCTCAGCCAGCGCCAGATAATTTTTTTCCACCTCACCTTTCCCTCACCGCCTCTCTAACGTCGCTGAAAGCTCCCCGCGGCGGTACAACGCGACGAGCTCGTCATAGCCGCCAAAGTATTTGCCATTAAGAAATACCTGCGGCACCGTGTGCACGCCTGTTCGCCCGACGACCTCCGCAAACACTTCCCGCCCGTTGGGGATGATGTTGATCTCGAGCGACACGAAGCGGTGCTTCATCTCGATGAGTAGCATCTTGAGCTTTGTGCAGTACTCACAGTACGTGGCGGAGATGATCACAATCTTGTTGCGGCGCAACATCATGTCAAGAAATTGTGGCGCCTTCGCAGGATCCAAGGCATTATTCATTTTTCCGCTTATGCTGACTCTTTCTGGCACCTTCTCACACTCTCTCGCTCTAAGCCCCCCTCCCTCCTCCTCGCCTCTCACCACACGGCGTACTTCGTCTGTGCTACTGCCGTTTCGCCAAAAAAAAACAACCGTAAACAAACACATACATAGAATGAGATAGATGAAGAGAAATCAAATCATCGTAATAACAACAATATACAGGGGACGACAGGACATAAGGAACTAGTTGTCGCTGCAGTTCACTTCACGGCAAGATCGGCGGAGGAACCACAACTATTATCTGCAGCTAGTGCAATAGCCGATACCCGAAGAGAGACGCATGAGTCCGTATGGGAAGAGTATACGAGATCACAGAACGACAACAAAAGCAACACGCTACCCTCTCCCCCCCTTTGTTCGTTCTTTCCTTCGCCCCTCCATTCTTTTTCATTTTAAACCGGTTTGCAAGAAACAAATCAATACCTCAAAATAGTAGGAAATACGTTGTAAATAATCCCCCCCACAGCGTCACCACCACCACCATACTTTTTGCTTCTCCTGGAAGCATTCCCGCTAATACACGTAGTCTGCAGAGGAGGTGATGGAGGACGAGTCCAGACTAAAATCCTGCGACAGAGTGTTGTCGACGGAGGTAAACCCCAATGCAGGGCTCTCCTGCGGCGCCCAGCCGTTATGCAGCATGTACGCCGACACACGACCATCCGTGTACATACCTTCTTCTTCCGCTTCGGTCGCGCCACTCGTCCCTGTCTCTAGTCCTTTTCGCAGAGGCTCTCTCCCCCCACTCCTCTCATTGCAATTCGTGACGGAAAAAGTTGCTGTGGTGGTGGCAGGTGCAGGTGCACTCTCCGACTCCACAGCCGCTGTGCTGACCACATACGACAGGTGCGTCTCCTCATCCATGTTGGCTTGTAATGCATGACTGTGGGAGGGCGACGCAGCGCCCTCCAAAGTTTCCAGCATCGCTGCAGTGACCCCACTGCCACCATGTGTCAGCTTCGTTGCACTCTTTCGTTTCCGTCTAGTTGCTTGTTGCTCTTCTGCCTCCTCCGTCTCCGACTCCACCGGTGGTTTATCTTGCTGCTTGTGGTCAGACTCACGGGAAGAGCCACTGCTCAGCGCCTCCAGTGGGCGGCGCCGCCGCGTCTCTAGGGCAGTCAAATGTGAGTCCACGAGTGGGGGCGACGCAGTTTTCCTTCTCGTAGCCCCCACTCTTTGCTCCGCTTCCCTTTGCTCGTCCGCCTTGTTTTCCTCCGTTTCTGCCTCCGGAGTCAGCAGCGTCTGAGAGGGAGGCGTCTCCAAATGGACACGCTGCACAGGCGTGGTGGCATGGTCGGCCGCGTGATCGCCTGCCATCTTCTCTGCCACATCGCCCGGCTGTACCTCCTTGCCGGACTTTGCCTGATCGTTCCCATGCTGGGCATCGTTGTCGTTGCGACTGCTGTTATCCCCACCTTTATTATTGTTAGTTTTCCCAGCTGTGGCTACGGCTGTGACAGCAGCCAACACCGCCGTCCGCTTCTCCTCGCGACGCCGCTCCCTCTTGCTCTTCTTTTCTTTTTTCCCCCTTTCAGCCTTTTCATCCCGCTCTTCTCGTCGCTGCCGTTTTTCTTCCCGCCTGAGTTTTTTGCGTCCCCCTTCTGCGTCCGCCTCACCGTCCACATCCTTATTCGCTGTCTTTGTAACCTCCACCACCGCCTGCGGAACCGCGCGCCGGTGGTCACTCAGTAGCCCCCATTGAACGTCATCACGCCGCACCACCTCGTAGCTGCCGCCATCCTCCACAAAAAAACACCCCAACGGCAGTCCCGCATGTTCGCACAGCTGCAGCTGCCACCGCGCAGAGTAACCAACATCGTCACGATGGTCGCCGATGTTGGCATCCTCGTCCTCCTCAGTGTAGGCGTCTTCCGGACCTTTTTCAGCATCGGTAGTAGACGCCCTATCCGCATGAGTTCTCGCTTGGACCGTCTTCACAAGCACGTACTCGGTACTCCCCAGCAGTGCCCTTAGGTTCACGACACCTGTCGAGAGAGCTGGCTGCCCGCCAAAGGTGATATGTACTAAAGGCGGCGGGGGAAGATTGACCTGCATGATGGTGTTCGAAGCCTCACTTGCGTAGTTGACACTCTAGAAACAGCAGTGAGAGCAGCCACTGTAGGGAAGGAAACCGTCAACAGTAAAGCCAAGTATCAATATATATATATATATATAGTGGAGAGGCAGACAACTAGAAAAGAAGGCAGTGCAGATGAGAAAACAATGCGTGCAGAAAAGAAACAAGGAGAGTTTCTTTTTTAATCTATTTATTCCCACCTTCTTCACACAACGTAAGCCGCCGACCCGTGCTCCACCAACACAGCCAGCACCGACACACAGAAAAACAGAGAAAGACACGGGGAGTGTTAAGGTGTGAAGACATATATACATAAATATATATATATATATACCAATATATGACAAAACACACTTAGAAAATAAATCGTAGCGTCACGAAACGCGCACAAAACAACGTGTCCATATAAAAAAAAACAAAAATGAAACAAACCACAGCAAAAGACTTTACCACAACATGCATCACTTCAACTACTTAACACATGCATGCCAAGCACACAATAAACCCCTGAGGTGTACTACTCTTCCCCCAAAGAGTTCTCAACACAATGCACCTGCACCGGACGGCGCCTTACACAGCACGCAAACGGCAAGGACAGACATCCCCAAAGAGTGTACCGCGGCGGAATCGGTATATCATCGTCGGAGTCGTACCCAAGAGGGTCACCATGTGGAAGCACTGCCGGGTGACCAGCTGCACCACGTAACGCGGGATGCACGGCGACCTCCCTCGAAAGGCTAGCCTCCGCAGAAACTTCAGCCGGTGACTCTAAAGCCGATGCATCAGCCAATCCAACGATAATCCCACTACTCAACGCGTTTAGTTCCACCACATCCGTCAAATCGTTCCTGTCAAATTCCACATCATCCACAGAAGAGACGACCGGTGCAATAACATGACATTCCTCCGAGGCATCTAAAACAGCGTCTGCACACGCCCCTACCACATCAACGCGGGCCCCACTTCCAACACAATCCGCACTCATTACATCCAACGCACATCCTCTTGACGGCCATGAAACATTCACATCAGTCACAGTTTTCATGCCTCCTAAAACTCCCCCACCAGCGTAAAAACAACGATTCATTCCAAAAGCATGAGCCACAAAAAACGCATCACAAACAGCACGGTGCCCAGCTTCCTCTGCCCGCTCAATTTCCTCGCGGCCGCGCTCCTCCGTCAGGCCCAACGCTTCTGCAGAGGCAATGGCTGTTGCACTGCTCTGCATGGCTTCAAGGGCAGCACAGCGCCCGGCGTCCTCTGCCCGCTCAATGTCCTCGCGGCCGCGCTCCTCCGTCAGGCCCAACGCTTCT